CATCCAACTTATTGTAAAATACTTCCTACTGTACATCTTTTTAACGTAATTCTGAATCACAACGTTACATCTCACTCTATGATACTTACCAGTTGGTGGAACAAACTCGCCCGATTTCTTCTTAACAGGAGACAACATGGGCTGTGTATCATCATGATTCCCACCAACACTGGAATACAGTGGGTTACCCAGATTATCCTCAATCTTATCATAAGCCGGCTGCTGTGCATCCTCTACATTCTGAAGTTCAACATGTACTGTCTTGTCTGTTTTGTTTTGCTGCTTCATTTTACCGAAGCACAGTGCTCGTCCGCGATACAGGAGGAATATTACGACCAATAGTACAATCACAATCAGCAGGATTACACAGACAATGATGATTATTAGTTGAAGATTGTTTGAGCCAGATGAACTTTCTGCTGATTTGTTGGTGATACAAACTAAAGAATGTAAGACAGTCAACATTATTACCATCATCATCACCATAGTACTATTAATTACCATTATCACCATCATCATTTATTACATTTTACCCAAAAGTGTAGAGTATACCCACAGAGCAGAGGCTCCAATAATAGGTTCCCAAAAATTATCATGATCATTATCACCACACAATCATCACCACCACTATTATCTTTATCACTCATCACCATTAGGACAATCACCAGCATCATCACCATCATTACCATTACATCACCATTACTACCATCACACTCTGACACTCACCACCACCATCACCATCACCATCACCAATATAGCTACTTACATTCACATCCAGGCAATAGTGTAGTTGGTAAACTTCCTGTGGAAAGTTGAGTCGCTGTACAAACAGCTGCTATATTTCCCGAGCAGTCCATCATCGTTTCATCAGTACTGACCGGAACTGACAATGGCAAAAAAAGTAAACAAAAAGATTTGATAAAATCTCTTGGTTTTAAATAGACTAAAATCTGTTGAGCATTTAGTGGATGCCTTTTTTAAGTTGTTGTATCTGTTGCAACAGCATGTTTCTAGGCAGGTTGGCATGCGTTTCTATAGGCATGCAATGCCCTTGTCATTTTCAAACATCTATCAAAATATCTTATCTGGACATAACAAAGGGTGCCCTTTTTTAAAATGCATTAGACACGGAGCCATCTCAAATTACGCGCTTTAAACGAATCGAAAGTTTTGATATTTTTGTTCACATTTTATTCTTTGGTAGAGTGACAATATGACTGAATATAAAAGCGGACTAGCCAACGCAATTGGCAATATGTGAACATTGTTTGGATCGATAGAACTTACTGTTGGCCATTACATGCAAAACTGCCTAGAAACATAATAATATTATTGTTTGTGGAAACATAGCCTATCGAAGGAAAGATGGCTGTGAAACTCATTAGAATAACAATGTAACTCATTATCTATGTTAGTCAACATTTATTCATAAATCTAGTCGTTTCACCGTCACGTGTGTATTGTATTTTTACCAGGGGCGTAGGAACCGGGGGGGGGGGGCACGGGGGGCCAATTTTTTTAAAGGACTAAAAGTGCTCTTTTTTGTGATAAAAATTGCCCTTTTTGTACAAGCTAATGTCGCTGTAAATACTAAATTAACATCAAAGGTGCCCTTTTTGTTTGGAAATTTCCAAGTTTTTAAAAAAAATTTGGTCAAAAACGTGCAATTTCGGTATGGTACAACGGGAAAATTTTTCTCCCCTCCCCCGTCGCCAACATTTCCGGGAAAAATTTTAGGTCCCTAGAAGCCGGTGCCCCTAGAAGCCGGTGCCCCCCCCCATCTTTTGATGCTTCCTACGCCCCTGATTTTTACCAAATCCACCAATAGCAATTTCCAGTTTCCCTATTGTTCGAGTCACGGATAGGTGACTTTCCTAAAACATTGCTATTGGTTAGTTGGGCAAGAATACAATACACACGTGACGGTGAAACGACCAGACTAATGAATAAACGTTGACTAACATAGATAATGAGTTATATTATTATTCTAAAGAGTTTCACAGTCATCTTCCCTTCGATAGGCTATGGTGGAAAACACCACGTAAATTTATTACTGCAAAGCTTTCGATCCGTAAGCCCGGATCTTCATCAGTGCTAATAATATGTAGATGAAGATCCGATGATGAAGATCCGGGCTTACGAATCCAAAGCTTTGCAGTAATAAGTTCAACGTGGTGTTTCCACAAACAATAATATTATATGTTTTATCGCCATGCAAACGTACAAAGAACTTGCCTAGAGACATGTTGTTCCAACCATAACAACAAATGATATAAACATTTCTGTAAAACGCTTAAACAGACTCAGCTGTAATAAAGTAGGGCGCGAATGATGGACGATGTGAAATAGTCTGGACCTGTTTCGTCTTTTTACATACATGAAGTCTTTACGGATTGTAGAGATATATTGATCAACACTTTTAATTATTCACATTACATGTGAAATAGTCTGAATCTATCTTGTCTTTCGTGTACTGTGCGTAAACTAATCAGTCTTTACTGACTGTAGAGTGTAGAGATGTATTATGATGTCTTTACTGACTGTAGACTGTAGAGTGTAGAGATGACTGACTGTAGAGATATCTTCGATATTACATTTGGTCACTTTGATATGTTCACAACAGTTATGACTCTTAATTATTTGAATTAGTGAGTTAAAAATGTCCATAAAAATTAAAAACAAACTAACAAAAAATACCTGAATTAAAACTGATCTCAGTGATTAGCAACCACTTTCCACCCAAAAATAACCGCAACTTCATAAACCTTGCTGTATTTTCACAAAGTGACAAAGTTACATTAATGTTTGTACCGTTTGAATCATTTTTGGCTTGAACATCTCTTGGACAGTACTGAAGATATGACGTGTTTGAGAAACTGTCTCCGGTTGAAGAGAAGAATATCTGGGATCTATTAAATACAGCATTATCACGTTTCTTGTTAACATTGACAGTTAGTGTAACATTTGTGAACTTTCGCACACCAGAAAATTCAAATATGATGTCGATATATTGTGATTGAGTAAGAGTAGCATTCCATCCCACCCATCCTTCGCCTTTCCTGTTTCCCACCATTTCTTTTGAGTCAGCAGGACCAAACTTGCCATCTGTAAGTATTCCAGTGCCATTTTTGTAAAATCCATTAATAACTTCTCCATTATAAGATGTGTCATTGTAGTGCACTTTGCCATTCCTTGTCGTTTGCCCAACTGGCATTGAGTAGGAGAGAATAACTAGAACAGTAAAAGATTACATTGTAATATACCAGTACTGTACAACAAAATTATTCACTGTATTTTATATTATATAGTAAAACATGCGTAAATAAAAAGAAAAACTAAATAAGAGCGTTGATTGATCCACGACCTCAGAGATGGAAGGCTTGATCTGACGTTTGCGCCATCAAAACCCTCTTGCTTTCCTGCAATACCTGAGTTGCCGAGTGTCACATGGATCACACTGGTTAAACCAAGAAGACAAATAATGACACAACGTTCAGAAATCTTGCTCTTTGCCATCTAGAATTTGAACAAAAAGAATTATCCTTTAAAATGGAACCCAAACTTTCCCTTGAATTAACCGACAATATACAAAATTTTGATCTGTCAGCCCAGATCTTCTTCATTAGCGTAATACAAACCTACCGAGGTTTACCGAGGCACTCTGTAGTCAATATGACGTAACCAATTATATATCTGTTTCTCTATCTCGTAATGTGGTCACCCTACAGTTATCAGAGTGAGAAAATAATGTTAATTCCTTTCTGTTGTAGAAGCTTTAAGGTACCTTTATTATAAGAGTTATAACGACGCTGAACGCGGAAAGGCAATTCATGCGATGTCCCACATGACAATTCTTAGCGACAATTTAGCGACGATTCCCAACGCAAGTCGTTGGCGTGCCAATCAATTTCATGAAAACATAATTTGAATTGCGAATTGTCGCTAAACCGTACCTTAGTACATCACATTGAGTGTTTTTCCCAATGGTTTTTCCGCGTTTGACATCATTATAAGAAAGGTCTATTGTTTACGTCTGTCCGCCTACCACTTCCGCTTTTGTTAACACCCAAATTTTGCCAATACTCAATATTTTGTAGTCTGTATGATGCGATATGATGTAGATAATGTAGACTTTTATTTGGGTGTTATTTTGTTCGTTTTCTTATAACTTGAATGAAAGCTGAAACGTTTAGACAAAAAAACAAGGCTATATCAAAACATGTTTTCAATTGCCACAGACATACACCACTAGTATCGCCAAATGAGAAACTTATCATGGAAATGAAGTCCACTTCATTTCCTAGATTCAAGAACAAGCGTCAAACTCTTCATGTGCCAAAACCGTTAGAAAATGGGCAGAAACAATGAGCACATGATACGTGCGACGTCTGAGTCGTAGGTCCGTGTTGATCAGCCCGGATTTATTTTCCATTTTTGTCGAAGTTTTTAAATCATGTATATCCCTAGGACGGACCAAAACAAAATGGAGCTATGGTCAAAGGCTATACCATTATGGCTGTACCTAAACAGCTGAAAATATTAAAAATATAGTATACCCCTCTTTCTGAAAATGTCAACAGACTACAGAAGCGGAAGTGGGAAGGTTCTTGTATTTTTGACTGTAATTTGTTTCATTATACATAGTAGTCTTATACTTGATAGCAAATAGAATTCAGAAATATAGACTATAGTTTAATTTTCTGGCTCCTGTATATTTGTGAACACGCTGAAGTTAATCACCATCTAATGCCTTTAGTGACACTTATAAACTAAATACTAACTTCTGTCTGGTCCCCATAGAAATACTTCTCTCGTCGTTCAGAACCAAAATTTACCAATATTTTTGTAGTTTATAGATTGTAGAAGTTGTGTACCTTTAACTTGTTAATTTCCTCGCAGCTTGAAAGAACTGTAAAGACAACAAAGCAAACGTTTTCAACTGCTACGGCTACAGACAGAGCTTGTCACTTCAACAAGGAAGCAGGAGTCTTATCATGCATATGAATGAAGACGGGTCACGTAACATGGACAAGGGTGGAACACTACAGGAAATGTCGGGTGTCATGTCGGTAACACAAGGTTCAAAGCGCAGTGCGCAAAATACAAATAATTCTTTGAAAAAAACGCCCAGCAAGTCTAATCAGAACACAAAAATGGAAGATAAGGGTGCAGAGAAGGAGATGAACAAAAATTTCGGAAGCGAAGTCAAACTACAAGATATATTTGAGTTGATATCTGGTATGAGCAAGAAGATGGACAAATTGGATATCATCCAAGAAAATATGGAAAATATACAGACGGAATTGAAAGAAGTAAGAAAATCTATTGAATACGCTCATAGCGAAATAGACGATCTGAAGAAGGAAAATGAGAAAAAAGCGCAAGTTCATAGAGAAACAACCGAACGTATCAACAAACTTGAAGCCGACAACGTAACATTATTGAACAGCGTCATTGACCTTAAAGCGAGGTCAATGCGCGACAATCTGCTGTTTTACAACATGCCTGAAGAAAGCGATGAAAACACCACAGCAACGATTCACAAGCTGTTGGAAGAAAAGCTTGGGTTCGAGGACGCTGCTATGAAAATAAAAATCGACCGTTCTCATCGCTTGGGAAAAAAGAAACGGGGTGAAACCAAAGCGCGACCAATTGTCGCAAAGTTCAATTTTCATCAGGATAAAGTTTCAATCATGCGGAATGCAAAGAAGCTAAAAGATACGGCAAGCAGAATCGGAATTTCTGAGCAATTTCCCGAGGAAATTGTCAGAGAAAGGAAGAGGCTTTACCCAGAATTTAAAAAGGCAAGACGTAACAATCTAAAAGCTACTCTTGTCAGAGACAAACTGTTTATCAATGGTGAATTGTTCAGGGGATAATCAAATATCATATTAAACAGGTTTTATATCTTTATTAACTTTTACTTTTATACAAGTCATACAATTTGAATACTTTAATTCTTATTAACAAACTAAACTTTTCTTGATAGTTAACAATGACTACTGAAAAATCAAACGTAAACAACGCGATAAAAACATGTTCATCCTGTTCTGAATTAATTTCAAATAATATTTCCGAGTGCAACATGTGTCATAAATGGTTTCACGCTGTGAAAGAATGTTTGAAATCATTTCCTGATATGCCTGACTCGCAGTTAATTTCATCTCAGGATATTAATCATATATTCCGCACTTGTTTCGAGTGTAATCCATCGTCTAAATTCAATAACATAAACGTAGACAAACTAAATGATTTGAAATTTAACCCTTTCCAGACAAATAACGATGTAGCTTTCAGCCAACATAACACAAATCTTGATAAATCTCTCAACATTAACGAAATAGACTGCAACTATTATTTACCAACGGAGTTTATAACAAAATCTGAAAAACATTTCCATTTATCTAATGCATTTTCTATAATGCATCTAAATATAAGAAGTATAAGAAACAAATTTGATAGCTTTAAATATTTAACTGAATCACTAATCAAGAATGTAAACATAATAGGTCTTACTGAAACATGGCTTAGCAATAATGACTGTGAACAATATTATAAATTAGGAGGATATGACTATATAGGATTAAATAGGGAGACTAAAAAAGGAGGGGGAGTTGGTATATATATTAAAGAGCATATAAACCG